TTGTTTTTTTGTTTTTTTTTTTTTTTTATAAAGACAGTATGAATTGTTAAACAAAAGACTTGAACATCATGTTTCTTGGCTCTGTTCAGAGCAAAAACATTGCTGGGTTCTAATCTATGCCCTATTTAATAATTGTAGCTTTATCAAGGCTACTGCTGTGCACTCTGCTGTGACTTAACCTGACTACACCTTAACCTCTCCACCACGTAAGAGGAGGTAAGCTATACTTAAATGCATTTTGCAGCTTGTCTGAGATACTAATATTAAAACTTCTGTTCAAAATTCTTTCATTTCTGAATGATAGAAGCTTAAAATGTAGCATTTTTTAAAAAAAAATAAAGCTAAAATTCTTATTTAATTAATTTCAGTACTTATTCTTTTAATCTGTCTGCAGTCAGAAAATTAGTATGTTCCACTGCATTGCTCACCAGCGTGCAATACTAAAACTTACAAACTCTGGCAAAACTGATTTCTACTATTAAAATTTGGTAGATTGTGAGGCGCTTGCACATGTTTGTGGCTCTCGTGTTATATGCATGTGCATGAATGTACTGGGCTGGTAAGAGTGATTATGCGTAGGTGTATGTTCTCAGCTGCCATCCCTAGGGAGAGGGAGAGTCTCATCTGTGTCCTCTGCATGCTCTACAAAGTTTGGGTGGTCGTGGACCGTGTTGCCCCTTCCAGCAACCACTCCTTGGGTTAAGAAGGGTATCGTGTCTTAGTAATTGAGCCTGGGTGGCCACATACTCTTCACACCCTTTTTCAGGGTGACGGAGCTCAGCTCTCCATTTTCCATGCAACCCTTCCATAACCAGGTGACTATCCCAGCCAGTCTATGACACAGGCTGCACACCACATGCAAGGTCAAAGCTCAGCTTCTTCCTGGGGCTTAATTTCAGTAAGAAACATATTAACAATGAAGCAATCAACTCCCAAGGCTCAGCTAAACCCACCTCCTCATCTTACTGAAACACAACCCCCGTTTCCCTCTGTCAGGACAGCCAACTCTAGAATCTGCTTCCTCCTCTTAATTACCTCCAGCTGTTGGTCCCTCCTGCTAGGCCTCATGTTGCTGGCAGGTGCTATGGGGTGGGGCAAATTTCATCCCCACATCCAGGACACTGTGAACACCTCCTTCCTCTGTACTTTGTTCTACTGACACGCCCTAATTTGTATTAGTGGTTTGTGTTCTTCATCGCCTGAAGGGTGCAGCGCCAAGGTCTGTAACCTTGTTTAAATGACAATGGAAAACAGCAGCCTTCCTGATCGCAAGGTAAGTGGAAGAGTGACTCCCAAGGCAATGCTAGAGTCCTAAGGCAACGTGATATAGCAAACCTGGGGAATGTAACCTGTTCATATAAATTATGTTTATATTTCCAGCCTATATACAAGGCATAGTGTGTAGCACAGAAGTATGCAGTAAACCAGAGTAAAGTTCCCCATGAAGCCATATCCTACTAATTTTTTATTAATTTTAGGAGGCTATTTGGTTCTAGATCTTGTCTTTTCAGGGGCAGATCAGACCTCTGTTACTTTCTTCTCTGCTCATGAGATGGAAATGACTCTTTTCACTGAGTCATGCTAGTGGAGGAACCCCAGGTCCCTGTCAGTCAATTTAGGTTCCCATGTTGACCTTTTTCAGCTCTGATTTTTTAACTGTGCAAATTGAGTTGAATACATTATAATAGTAGGAATGAGGTCAGAAGTGGTTAGTATCTTTTATTAGATGCAGTTGGAAAAAATTGAGTTTAGGTCAAATACTGTTTTCACCGATTTGTTCCACCTAAACGGTCTGCTGGTTCTCAGTTATGATAGGTGGTCTAATACCAGATACTACTTCTCCCTACAGACCTTGCCACTTTTATATCCCAAAACTATTCTTCCTACAGCTGTAATCATATTATTTATAGCTGTCATCAAAGGGAAAATAATGTCCCCCGCAGTCCTGAATGCATAGATAAGCTGGCTTGTAAGTCGTCAGTTAAAAAAACCCTCAAACCCACACCACAAAACCTCCAGAAACCTTGACTGGAAGCAAGTATGTTTTGAATTCATTGTTTAAACAAGATCGAACATATTTCTAGGGTTATAATATGTTTTTGAGAAACACATAAATTAATAAAATATTGAAGACGTTCCCCAAAACTGCTAAAAATAATTTCAGCAGTTTTGGCTTCATTAGCTCACAGTAAGGGAAAAGCATCTTCCAGAAAGTACCTGTTTGATGGTGACACACAAGAACTGTTGACATCAAAATCCTAGGAAATATGCAAATTAATTAGTAGGAAATGTTAACACTTCTAATTAAACTCAGAACAGTAATGACATCTTCTGTTTAAAAGAATGCTCTATTATGTATTTATGTTTCTGGACTTTCAATAATGCAGTATTGGTGGGTTGCCACAACCGATGGAGTAATGTTTTATTTCGCATTAGAAAAGGAGAGGAAATAGACAAACAGAAAAAAGAAATTATGTGATGAGGAGTAACTGCAACATATTTGTAATATGGATGTATTTCAAAGAAAGAGGTGGAATTTCCCAGCTGCAAAAAAAACCAAACAGAAAACATTTATGCTTCCTGCCACCTAGGCTACTTAGGGAGCACTTTCATTTGTGTAACTTTCACAGACACTGTAAGTGACAACAGCCATAGCAGCTAGATTTCAATTGTGTAATGTCTCTCTAATAGACCTCTTACAAGTGGAAAAGCCACAAAAAATTGCATGCTTACTCAACAGTTGTGTATTTTTGAAAATTTCTTGTGTTGATCCAAGTCAAATTGAATGATGTTTCATTTGAAAAAAGTGAAATCTAAAGGGAAATATTTAAGCTTGGGAGAATTCCACCTAACAGTCTTATACAAAATACAAAGACTTGGGAGAAAGGTAGTAATACTACATCCGAAAAAGGTAAAAATACTAAGTCTATAAAGTAAGTGTTAATAAGCATGGCAAAGTGTTGCTTGTGTGCTTGTTGCAGTAGCATGTTGTGTCTACAGTAATAGCAAATGCACAAATTTATCTTTTAACTTGTAAAGTTATAGGAATTGTGGCCTCTTATTTTGTGTTGTGACAAGCTGCGAACCTAGCCCCTGTAATAACTGAATGTTTTCGGCTAAACTTTGAATGACCTCGTACTTGGAAAATGTTTTTAAGTCCCGTTTAGTCATTATAGTTGTTTAGCAGTTAATCCAAGTATATTGTTTTTTAAGTAAGGTTAGCTTTTTGTTGCCCATGTGTAACAGGGAATGGTCAAGGGACAATAATAAAAATATTAGAAAACAGATAAAAAGTAAAAAAGATTAAAAGGTGGGGATGTAGAAAAAGTGAAGGCTACATATTACATAGTGACTAGATAATTTAAGGGAAAAAAAAAATTAAAAGCCTCTCAAAGCCAAGAAGAAAGTAAAAATGTAAGCATTAGAATCATGATATTATGGTTAAATGAACATGTAGTAACACACAAAGATAAGTAATTGAGAGTGTAAGAACATGAATACGAGATGATACAATATAGAAGGAGCAATGAACGACAATAAAAATTCTAAAAGATGTTCTAAGGGGAGACATGATATTGATCAGTTATTTGTTAAGTCACCTTACATCTCCGTATAACTGGACAGAGAATACTCAGATGTGGTCTCTCACCTTTAAAATTTACATTAATAATTGTGCAAACAATAAACGCTGTCACAATAAAGATACTTTTATATAAAATTATATACAAATAGGTATTTTGGCCTTGAGTAGCATCATCACTTTCTCCATATGAGAAGGGACTCTAAAGCTCAACGTGCTGCAAAAAAACAACTTTCCCAGGCAAAGCCATTACCAAGAATGCTGGAATCTTTGTCTGGGCCACAGGTGAAAGGATTAGACATTTTAATGTGTAATTTACATGATATATCAACCTCTTTTTCTTCTCTGTGTACACACAGAGTAAGAATTTTATTTCTTGTTGTGATGGTACATGTAGGGCAACTTTTCCAAAACCTGTGCAAAACTTACAATGGAGGGGAAGAGAAAACATACTTCTGTGTAAAAACACGTATGATATTCTTATAGCAAGATATTGACGCTGGTGAAGTGTAATTCAATTGGTACTTATTTCCAGGCTAAAAATATCCTGATGTCACGTTTCAATGCCCTTCTTCATTTGTTTGGGAAAAATTCTAGTCATACTTCCCCCGTAGGCCACAGAAATACAAAAAGTTGATTTGGCAACACTGCTCAACCCTTTATTGCAAAACCAAGTACTCTGCATATCCTGATCTTAAATGCAGTACATTTATGTAGCAGCATCAGCCCAATTATTTCATGTACTGTAAAGTTAGATTTTCAACGCTTTTCTTAGCTTACAGTTGTAGGTTCTCAAATCCAATTTGGTAAATAATAAATTCGAATATTCCTGTGTGAGAGGCAGTGTGGGTGCTTATGCATATTAAGGTGCTGTCAAAACCTACTCTAAACCAGGTTCCTGACTCTTGCCCTGCAAACGTTAGTACCCAATTCAGAAAAAAAAAAAAAAAGAAAAAATCAAAAAAAGCATGCTACATCTTACAAAAGTGTGCTGGTCCCTCAGCGCCCCACAGCACAACACCTGGAAACATTTGCACCGTTCATACGCAAATCTTTAGTATCGCAACCGAGATGTGAGACAATTCTAGGTGTTCCTAAGGCTCAGAAAGGACATAAATCTGCTGGATTCCCAGGCATTTGAAAAACCTTGCGCTCTGCTGTTCCCGGGTCGTGAGGGACAAATAAGGATCAGGTCCCACGCCCGGCAGGCGCCCACGCTCCCCGCCCGCGAAGAGTAACAGACTGCGACCATAGTCCCCGCCTCCACCCCCCGGCAGACCGGGCGCCTCGCGGGGCTGTGGGGGCGGCACATGCACGGCACCTCCCACGGCGCTTCGGACCAACGGCTTCCACGCGCGGCGCATGCGCGGCCCTGCCGCTCGGGCGGGCAAATTCAAACCTGCCTCTCGCCCCTTCTCTTTGTCGGTGCAGCAGTTGCGCTGACGTCATTGCACCGCGTCGTCCTCCTCCTCTGCGGTTTCCGGCGCTCGCCCGCGCGGTAAGTGCAGCTGAGAGGGGGAAAGTTTTCATCTGTGTGGTTGACAGCACCGTTCCTCTCCCCCTTCCCTCAGGAGTGGGCGGGCAGGAGCTTTCCGCACCCTCTTCGCCAGGCGCGGACCTTCCCCCCCGCTCGCCGTCCCCGCGGAGGGGGTGAGGGGCTGTCACCACGACGCCGGCGATGGCTTCGGGGCGCGCGGAGGCAGTGGCACCACCGCGGCTGGCAGAGCTGGAGGAACAGCTGCGGAGTCTGGCAGAGGAGCTGAGCCGCTGCCAGGTACCTGAACGCGGGGCCGTCCCCTCGGGGCGCGGCGGTGCGGGCCAGCCCGGTGCGGCTGCGGTCGGACGCGCACGTCCCGCCGTCCGGGGAGGCCTCTCCCGCCCACAGCTCGGAAGCGCTTGGGGTTCGCGTCCCGCTTCCGGAGGGCAAGGCGCGGGTCGGGGTGCCGGGCACCCGGCCTGTGTGGGCCAGGAGGGGCCGGGTGGACACCGCGGCGGGGCCTCTGGCTGGGGGTGGGGGTTCGCCTCGGCCGCCACCGCGCCTTTGGTGGGTGCCCCGCGGAGCGGAGCGGGGCGCGGCGCCCACCTGTTGGGCGGCGGCGGCCGTCCCCGAGGCTGCCGCGGTGGAAGCCAGGTCGCCGGTCGCGCCGGCGTGCCCCCCCGCCAGGGGCGTTAGACCGGCGCGGGGCTCTTGCTCGGATTTAAAAGCAGGCACTTGGCCTGAGAGTTCTTACTTTTTTTCTCCCCGCCCCAAGAAGCCACTGGTTATTTGGTTTGGTGTGTAATGGTAAGAGTGCTGGGGTGCTGTCTTGTGTAACGCCTCCAATAACGAACGAATAGAGGAATTTTATAGAAACGTAGGCCTTGAAGGAAGCTTTGGAGCTGATTTAATCTTTCTGCCGACCCTGCAGCAGGATTAGGTATACCCAAGCCATTCCTGGGAGGGCCGACTTTATGAATAATTATGGTTGTACTTTCAGAAGTTCCCCCAGACTGTCTCCCTGTGACCTCCCTTCACAGGTATAGTTCCCTCATTTTTCCATTGCTTATGTTAAGGTGCATTTCATGAAAATAACAAGATGTTGGTAGTACCAGGTCTTGTCATAGAAATCTACGCTAATTCCTTGCCAAACACGTGGATTACACCTGAAAGATATGGCAGAGAGGAACATGACATCTAATGTTGTGGTTGTTTTCTCCTTTCTTGGTAGCCAAACCAGCATTTTCTTGTGGGACATGGTCTGGTTAAGGCCTGGGCTGAGGTAGCCATATCTGTGAGCAGAGCTTTGAGCAGCATTGTTTCACCTGCCGACTGGCAGTGGATTTCTGCTGTGGGTAGAATCCAGGCTTCTTGCAAAAACTTGTTGCATAGGAGAACTACAGGGAGAGGGAGCTGTCAGTAAAAATCCTGTTTAGAACTACTGAACAATTAATTGTTTGGGGATATCTTAAATGCCTTGTGGGACAAGTTTAGAAAACTCTTTATAATGATAATTTAGTTTCCTCTTCATGGTATGCAGATGTGCAGTATCAGTCAAAATTTGGTGGAGGCAGAGGAAGGCCCTGTGCTCTGCTCATTTACTAGTTGAACATAAATTATATATTACTTAAATCTAGTAGCATAAATATTTTTGAAGAACATTATAAATAATAGAAACTTTGAAGTAAACAGTACATATCTGAATTTCTATGCACTTTGATAATGTAACTTGATGTACACAAATTGTAGTTAAGTATCTGATTTCCCCTTTAGATTCATTCAATTACATGGGCATTTCTACTTGTTGCTTGATGAACCCATTCCAATCATTTTGAAGTCATCAACCAGAAAATATTTTAAAATATATTTCTTTTAAGTCTCATGCATATTATCTTGCCGTTCATGTATCTTTTTTCTTGTAGCAGATCAGATAGTTTTCTGGGAGGGAAGCATCCAAAAAAGACCATGAAAGTAGTTCCTGTATTTGAAAACAGAACCCAGTCAGTGTTCTGCGGTAATCTCTCCAGTTCTAGGTAGAATTCAGTACATATCATCCTTCTAACAACAGGGGATGCATGTCTTCAGAATTTATTTCAGATTATTAATAAAATAAAAAGGAAAGCAAAACAGTAATCTATAAGCAGAGATTCTTCTCTGAAAGCACTGCAGTATAGACATAAACATGCTTTACCATTTTACTAATCCATCAATAAATGTAGAGATACATGTTTAAGTATGTGTATGTTACGTAAAGAAGGGGGAAGCCAGATTTTAGTAAGTAAAAGCGGTGATTTAGTGAATAATGTGCCTTTTCCAGTGTAGGATTTATCCAAAATAATTAACCTTTTTTGAACTTCTCTGAAGTTACTCTGAGTTTGGATGAAAACTAAAGAAGACTTTACTAAGATTCTTCAGCTAGTTTAAAAGTCAACTGATAAAATTATTCAGAGATGATGAAACCATTCTGAGTTCATATTTCATATGAAAACTCTGTGCAAAGACAAGCTATTAGGAAACAAATATATATGGGCAATGTTAATGTTACGCTTTTCTAATTTCTTCACAGTTGAAATACAGATTTTTTTTACTGACCAACTAAATTCCTTTAGTGGAATTATGTTACCTATGCTGTGACTTCATTAGTTTCATTTGGGTGTGAGATTTTTGTTGGTTCTTGTGTTAAGTCATCACCTAACATTTGTAGGTCTTGCTAATCAGAATCGTGAAACTGTTTTAATTTGGAAGGCACCTCTTGAGAGTATCTAGTCCAACTCACCCTAGAGGAGCTTGCCCAGGACGGTGTCCAGTCAGGTTTTGAGTATTTCTGTGGCTGGAGACTGCAGTCCCTCAGGGCAACCTCGTAGGAAAACTGTTTTAGCTTCTATTAAGATTTTCCTTGTCTTATGTTCTATTCTGTTGGGTAAGGTTATCTCTTTTGGAGACTATCTTAGAAGACATTTTGGATAGAAATGTTGTGTAAGTGACTTTTAAAAAAGACATTAATAAGAGGGTGTAAGCTTTTAGTGCAGCAACTGGATAAAATCGCCTCTGTTTGTTTTTTTTTAATCTTTTGAGTATTACTTTTACAGACACATAAACTGCACTTCCAAAACAGACTTCCCAACTGAAATTTAGTTTAATAGTTTAAGTGAACCAGAACTAAATAATTAGCTTTAAATATTTGTTTAGGTGTTAGACTTTTGGATTTTTATTTTTTTTTTTCTCTCCAGAGGAAAAAAAACATTTCTCAAATGTCTGAGACTAAAAGCTTTAATTGGCTCTAGGGAACACTCAATGAGGTTATAGAGATAGAGTTGTATATATCCAACAGTTCTCCAGCACTTGGATAAAATATGCCAAGTTTCTTTTCTACTTCTCCACACCTCCTTGGACTATTATATTCACTGTCATGTACACTGCACTTCCGAAATGAAGTCTTTCCACTGGGAGCTGTTGTCCATTGATGATATGGAGTCCATTGACTATATGGAAGCCTTCTCTGGCTAATGGAGCTCCTGAGTCTTGATGGAAATAAGCATGCTAGCCTTGTTCTAACCACAGGTATTCCACACATCTACTTTTGGCTGTTGTCTCTTTTCTGCAACAGGATCCTGGAGTAGCTGACCCTTTCTTATCTGGGATGGTGGCCTTTATGTTCCAACCTAGGTTGTTTTTCTTCACATTTCTCTTTTAAGGTAACACTTGCTATGAAGTAAAGGTGCCTACAGAGCCAAATATGGCATTTTGAAGGTTTCATTTTTCTGTTTTCCACCTTTCTTTCCTAAAGCTAAGATTCTGCTGGCAAGTCTTGATCTTGGCAGCTTATTTGATATTTTCTTTAATACTCCTTTCTTTGCAGTATTTGATATTTTCTTTAATACTCCTAAAAACATGATGGGAGTTTGGATCATAATAAGTGAGATCTTGGAGGAGGGCCTGTTAAAAGCACAACAGTGTTGTTGCAGTCACTCTGAAAAGTGATGCTGTCTTATAATTCTGTGATGGAATTTGCAAAAAGGAGAAAGCCAAATTAAGAAAGTAGTCCAAAGTTCCCAAATCGTCTGCTGAGAGACTTGTATAAAGTTGAGAAAGTAAAAAATAAATCTAAAGCATGTTTGCCTCTGTATTATGCTGTTTTGTGAAAATTATTGTTGTGTCTGCAGTAGAGCATTGTATAATTATTTTGATAATCACTTAATGACTTTTAATTTAAGTGCTCTTCTCCTGATTTTACTTGAGAATTACTTGAGTAATTGAGTAACTGAAAACAACCACAAAGGAAACATAGATTATTTTTTAATTTTTTTTTGTTTCTTTTGGGAACTTGTTCTGTTTCTGTGACTGGTTCAGCCTTGTTGAGGGGCAGGGGAAAGGCAAAGGTCAAAGGTAAGTTATGACACATCTGGTCTCTGTTACTTGCTTTAATTGCTGCATTCTACTTTAGGGTTTTATGCTGCTGCCTATATCTTAATATCTCAAGACCCTTCCATGGAAAATCCTCAATACCTGTGTTCTTAATACTCCCTGGATTTTTTGGCTATGCTTGGTGTTTAAAGCATCTGGCATGTTTTTTACTGCTGTCTCGTTTTCTACTGTGATTTTTTCATTTTGGGGGAGGTGCTGTTTTTGCAAGCATAGTTGCCTCTGGTAAAGGCAATCAGTGATCTGTTTGTTTCTATTTTTTCTAAGGGGAATGATTTGCTGTATCTTTGAAAGCTCATTCTGTGAGTGGAGCCTCTGGGCCAGGAGAAATTGTTTTTAACTTTTATGTATTTTCTCTTTAATCTTGTATATTTATTTAAATCACCTGGTGACCATATTTTACGGATTAATTTATAGCATATTGTATGGTTGTTTTTTTGCATGTTTTTTGTGGAAGATACTTCATTTGGTGCAAAATAATGTGCATTCCTAAAGCAGCTGATACGTATTTGGTGTCATAGCTCTTGTTCTCATGTACTGAACTACAGACACTTTTATGCCCCCTATGTAACTAAAAAGATAGGAAAGGATTTTTAAAGTATCCTGTGGTGAGAAACTTCATTTTGAACTGGACAGTGATTTTAGAGTGGGTTTTCCATATCCAGTTGAGTATCTTATGTTGCTGGAATAAGGGAGCATTGGAAGAAGTGAGCACATGTCCTCTGTTTATACTTATGCTATCGGTGATATTGCACAAAAGGACTTTGGTTTGATTAGATTAATTTCATATTTTCCAGCCTAGAATCTCTTTATTTGCTGAAAGTGCTGTTTTGGGTTCAAACAAGTGTCTTAATTTACCCATTATTAGTTTAAAA